CGTAAAGTTTTGTTACTTGAATTTTCAGCCGCTTTACATCACATGGTTGTGCTTGAATCGATTCGAAAGCTGTTTTATGACTCTTTAGGAAACTACGATCTGTTCAGCGTCAACGATTCGTTCACTAGCCGCCTTTACCGTGTAAAGATACAGACCGTGTCAGCTAAAGGCGAATCTGAACCAGAACGCGTAGAAACGCGAAACAAGGTGGACGAAGACAGGAAGCACGAAATTGAAGCTGCCGTTGTTCGAGTGATGAAGGCCAGAAAATGTTTGCAGCATAACATGCTCATTGCTGAGGTAATGTACTGTAGTCGTCGACTTCGTTTATACATTCGTCGCGTTCATTCACTCTTATGCAGTATGCTTCATGCGAAACGCCACTTTCTGTATTCACGACTGAATTTTTTGCTATTGAGTAGATTTGTAGCCGTACGCTCAGAAGTTTTCTCGGGTTGTTTGAAATGTCTCACAAGTTATCCTTTGGAAAAGTCCAAATTGAGCAAGGACTTCAATTCTTAACTTACACGCTTTTGCTGGAATTATTGCCGGAATCAAACCGCATTGTAATTGGTATTTAGCAAATTTTCGTGAACCTTTCAGAGTGTAATATGCAGATGAAGCTTTCATAGAAAAATGAAGTTATTGGGCTTCGTTCTGTGCGAGATATAAGGGGCTGAGTGGAAGACTCTCAAAAATAGATTCAAAAGTACACTGTATTTTTCTCTTTCGGTATATACCAAAACGAAAAAACATTTTTGGCTAAATGTTTGAAGCGCAGTAGCTCGAAATTTCTTCAGCTGTTCGAACTTTTTAAATCTAAAAACCTTTTAGTATAATAGCAGCCTTCCTTTCCTCTCGGCTGTTGCAACTCAGTTCAGTTCTACGTTCACTTTCTGATATAAATTCTAGCTTTGCAAATAAGTCGATATTCATTGCACGTGTCTGGCAATACTGTCTGCGATGGCAAAGTCTTCAAACAACGTTCAACAAAAAATTTGACTGCATGCGTTCTTCCTTTGACTCATCTTCTTGCTTTGATTTAAGCCCGCCCTTCTTGGAATATTTAGCTTCAGATGTTGGCTGAACCTCGTTTCCTCCGCAGCAGTCGCTGCGAAGTTTGTTGCAAGTTTTCAATCGGGATGTATTGAAGTAACCGTAGACGTTGCTGTAATGTGCCAGAGCAGCGAATGATGGATTATTATTGATTTAAAAAGTAACCTTAATTTACGCTTCAAAACTGGTATAAAAATTACAGTGAAGGAGGTTGCTTATGCCTACTTTATATTAAAATTTTCTTTTCTTTAAGTTGAAATGAATTAAACGTTATTTAGCTAGTTATCTTTTAATGATGGCTAGGCACGAGACGAGAAATACGAAATTAGGCGTGCTGAAATGGTGAAAAATTGATGCTGCGACTTTCTGCATGCCTTCACTGTTTCCGATTTGTTCTTGTAGTGGGCGCATCACGAACGCAAGTTAACGCTTCTCTACCGTTTTCCATTACTGAACGTTTTTGGGCGAGTAGTTGTTCAGCATTCATTTGGACTGCCTACCCTATTTACCTATTGCCGATGTCTGTCCATTCTTAAGCAAACCCAACGGATTCGGAGATCAGTGAAGCGTTTGTAAGATTTTGGTCACAGACGGACAGTGTGGCGAACGCTGTCTCAGCCTGCCGGAGCGATTTCGTGCATTACTTCCAGGCCTTTACTTCAGCAGGAGTTTACGTATGCGCGTCAAATATTTTACGTGTTACACGTGTTTTTTTCACGCTTGTCCAAGTAAAGGTGATCAATGTATTATTACGTCTAGCTCGATGATTTGAGACTGAACAATGCTGCCCAGTTCATCGCTCCTGGTTGATGCAATTTCTTGGCGTTGTTAATGCAGCTGGTGTCTTTGTCCACACCGTGGTCCCGAAACATAACTGTAGTTATCCCAGAAGTCTCAGTCAGTACGCGTGATTGATTACAAGAATAAAATGGGCTGGGATGGTATCTTAGCTGAAAGGTTTGAGGTAAGTGAAGTCCCAGCTGCTGGATTTCGTAAAGGCAATAACTTCTGTCATTGCGTTTTTATGTGATGCACTGCAAAATAAGTCTTATCCGATGGTATAGATTCTGGTGGTAAAGAATTAAGTTTAATTCTTTTCTGCATCTTCAGAAGTGTTCGAGTTTGATATAATAGGTCTCTAGCTTCAGTCTGTAGGTCAAACTTAATATTTTCACCCACTAGTGCTCTGTTGTATGTTTATCATTTGTTTATGAAATGTGTAGTTTGTTCATGCGTGTTCTGCCATGCAGGTTTGCGCGAGTTAATGTTGTTTTTGCTTGCAGGTAACGAACCAGCTGAAGCATCGCTTTATGCCTAGTCCAGTTGCCATCAAGAAAAGAATCGAAAGCCTGATAGAAAGAGAGTACTTGTCCCGAGATCAAGGCGATCATAAGCTTTATCACTACGTTGCTTAAGTTGCATGCGCTATGGTGTCAGTATTATGGGAGCTTAATTATTACGAAACATGATACTTTTGCGGGCAAAGATATGTAGACTATTTGTAAGATTGCGCAGCATTGTGATATTTTTATTAAAGATTTTCATGATGGTCGTTTGTATAGTTTGTTTGGCAGGTATTTGAGGCTGAGGCAAAGGGACTGATCAGCGGTAGCAAAATGTGAGAATCAGAAACCACTTCTGTAACGTGTTGGCGACTTAAAATTTCATCGAACATTACAGTGGAGAGTTCTGCTTATGCAAACAACTGAAGGTGGCGATCACAACAGAAAAATATTTTAGAACGAGATCTTTGATGCCAGTTTTTCTTTGTTGCCCATTAGATTTTTATCACGTTAAACACCTAAACTATATTAATTGTCACTTCCCTACAGAGGCAAAAGTTCATTGAACCTGAAGAAAATTGTCAGAATTTATTTTTGTGTACTGTACATAGGATATTAAATTTGCACGAAAGCGCGATTAAGGCAATTGTTTCCTTGCTCCGTCTCCGGAT